TTTACATAGTTCGAACATTACAAATCGTTTAACTTCAGTGGATTCTCATCAGACATTAGTATTTTTATGAAAACATTATATAACTTCAGCGGTAAAAAACTCAAGCTCGACCTGTAATCGCCGTGTGATCAGCGAGGCCCACAGAGCTAGCTATCTCCCTGTTAAGTGAATTGTACTTACGTCAACTTGAAATTAACTCGCTCATCATGAACCCTCGATAAGATATCAATTACGTTCCAGACTAGAAAGGAGACTTTATATTGTTTGTAAGTTTGTAAAACATTTTGTATATAAATCATTGTTTGTAATAACTATTTGTAATAACTGTTATTGTAAATTGTATTATTGGTTGTGTATTAAAATATGTTTGTATTAAAAAAAAGAAACTGTGTGTATCAATCTTGTTGGCAAATATCATAAATTAGAGGCATATCGGCATTTATTTAACTACTAACTCTAAATCATCATTTAGCTCGGTTTTAGACCTTTCGAAATTTTAATACGTAACATAATAAATTGGGGGTTCGTGTCCGAGTTCTGAATCAGAGACAAAATTCGATCTCAATTAAAATTTAAATCATAATTCAATTTATATCTATCAGTTCAACAAGATTTGATCATGTCTGATTACCATGTTATTATTATTACAAAGTGTCTTAACTGGTAAAGCTCAAAAAGCTTATGCAGCTCCCTCTGTAGAAGATTGTACGAATTATGATAAGGTTAAAACACCTATTCTCAAAGCATACGAGTTAGTACCGAAGGCTTATCGCCAAAAGTTTCGAGGTTATCGCAAACAAGATAATTAAACTTATATGGAATTTGCCCGCGAGAAAGAGTTTTATTTTGATCAATGGTGTAATTCTATGCATATTGGTAACAGTTTCAACAAACTAAGACAGTTATGTTTAATTGAGGAATTGCCGATAAGTACGAGTGACATCCCCAACTTGAAAATTCTAGCTGAAAATTTAATATTTCAATTCTGACTTTGAAAAAAATATGCATTTGATAAAATAAATGATGTGTTATGAATGAATTAATTGCGATGTTTCATTACACTTAAAAATAGGCTTAAATATTGTTTAACATTTGAACACATTTTCGATTGTTATACAAATTTTTTGATAATGGTTAATCTTGACGTTTTATTTATGAATTCTATGAAAGGTTAGAAAGGTGAAAGTGACGACCGTTTGTCAAGGTAATGTCCGGTGCTGAAGTAAAGTTCTTTATTGTATGCAATCAACTTCTAAATGTTATTCCTATAGTAACATTTGTACGAACAATGCGTCTTTAACATGTCTTTAGATTGAATAACGAATATAAATTTCTTTTTAAGTTTCTGCTCTACCTTCATTGGTAGATTCATTACTAAATTGTTTCTATTTCTGTTTGCTGTTAAGCACAAAGTTTCACAATGGGGGAGGGTTACAACAAATTGTTGTTTCGGATCGTCGAGCCCATCAGTGACTCCAGTGGTAACTCTGAAGCTTATAACGATAAAAATCGGGCTTCCATACCCGTGGTGGGTACAGGACATATAGCTTACTGTGTAGCTTTGTGCTTAACAATAAACAAACAGGACGCTCATTTTGACTCTGTTATCTTTTAATAAATTTATTCACATGTCTAAAACTATATTTTGCCATTTCTACAAACGAAAAAGATCATGTCTTTAGAAAGTATTATTAGAAATGGTATTCAATTAATTAAAGATTTAACATGACTTGCAGGAATACTGATTTAATCAATTCAGCTGTATATGATGTAATGTTCGTGTTAACACCAACTTTATACTCTTTATAACACAATGGTAATTTTTACTACACTATTCCTAGAGTTTATGATTACATTTTCATATGTTTAGTAATTTTGCCACCATAGTGTAACTTCTGACAGTCTTAAATGTTCCTGTTAAGACTCAGTTTGAATTGTGTGCGATCGTGTAAATATAGGACCCTTGTCTCTCATTAACTTTAAAAATCCAGATCACAGTGAACGGTCCTCTGATAGGCCAGCGGCAAGTTTATGGACTTACAACGCTAAAATTTGGGGTTCGATTCCCCACAGTGGACATAGTACAGATAGCCAATTGTGTAGCTTTGGACTAAAAAGCAGTAACGCAGCGAAAGTTATAAAACTGATCTCACTAAAGCTTATTGAAATTTCTGTTGTTTTTTGTTGTTGTTGTTGTTTTTTGTCAAATTGCATTCCCAAGTTAACATGTTCATACACTTTCGCCTCTTTTTATTGGCTAGGACTGCGTACATCCTACTTCTTTTTTGTTGTTATTGGTGTCTACATTTTGTATTTCTTGAAACCTACTATTGTGCTAAACGCAGTCAGCCTGGGTATATTTATATCTCATACAATTATTTTCATTAAATCATTATTAAATTATTTTCAATGTTTTAATTTTAAGAGAAGTTAGCCTCGCCAGAGAAAATTATCAGTTATGTTTTCATCCGTAAAACTATCTTCTCTGGTCAGCAGTGCAAGACACGTCCTTGACCGATCTTTTAAAAAATCATCATTATTTGAAGGTACTTGTAAAGCATAAGGAAGTTTATTCTTAAAATATTACAGTGTTTATAAACAAAATTATATTTTTAACAATATAAATTGTGTGGGTTGGACTGCACGATTTTCATGACATTAAGTTGTTTAAACAAGTAAAATAGGGGTGTGCAGTGAAAACTATTGAGTGATGACCTTTCCTTGCCAGTTTGGTTAAAATATGTTGCTGTTTTTTTATGATAATGCGTAAAATACTTATTTAAATTACTGCATCTACGTTTAAAACTATCGTTTAATTAAATAATTTCCGTTACAAAAGTTTAAAGATGTTGTTTTTGGTAGAAGTTCAAGTAAAGCTACTCGAGGGCTATCTGCACTGGCTGTTCCTAATTATGAAATGACAAACTAGAGGAAAGGCCACCGAACGCCAACTCGTGGGCTGCTCTAATCGAATAGTGGAATTTGACCGTCGGTCTTATAGCGCGCATCCACTGTCCCAGAGTATGGAGCACGTATTTATGGCAACGGGTCGCGAACCACAAACGGTGTTTAATATCCAATAATTTAAGTCAGGACTTGGTGAACAACCCTAGCAATATTCACATGCTTTATAATGTGTCCATTTTCCACAGTTTGCTCTCTCTAATAGTGTAATTCTTCTGTTCTGAAAATGTGCCATTTCGTCATTACAAACAACTAAATTATATTTATTGTCATTTGGAGAAAGCTATTCATGTTGCCCGGATCGTGATAACACAGAGATATTAGTTTATAACAGAGCGAGAAGTTGAACAACAGGCCTCACGTGGGTCTTAAACCAAGACTATAATTTAATTTTCAGAAAGCGCTCGGGTTATTAAGGTTGTTTTCTGACAGTTTTCTTTCTGTTGATTCTGCGCGCTTTGGAATATCATGAAATTATTTTGTATTTCATTCACCTAATAATATTCCTTCTTGAAACATTATTACTGTTTTATGCACTTTTGTAGACAAATTATATACATATAATATCATATTCATTGTGCACGACCTGACATGACCTGGTGGTTAGAATGCTCGACTCGCACGGCTATCAAATCTCGATTTTTAGCGTTTTAAACCCTTAAGCTTACCAGTGAACAGCAAATAGGCATAGCAAAACGTTTAAAGTTAAGCCCCCATGCACTGTTAATATTAAAACGTATTTTAAAATAATAAGACATGAATACTTGTATCATGATAAATATTAATTCGTACAGCACTGTTGATAATTATTTGGATGTGAAGTGTATTAACACTGGTACGTACAGAAAAAGGGGACCCACATGCCAGTTTTGACAAGAGTTTTCGTTTTCAGAGCTTGCGAAAAGGTGGTGGAGGTGGTTTTTCAAATGAAGTTTCTCTAATGCCTGATTCTATAAATCAGTGTATTGGTAGCAACACGACCTCTTGTTGATGTTGTTAAGTATAACTATGGTTGTTTTATTCATTATGTTAGAAAAACACGTAGATTCAAGAAGTCTTAACATAAAACGATAGAAACCCTATAACCCGAGCGCAGATTCGCAGTTTACTCCTGAAGAAGAAAAGACCACCTTTCGAAGGCGCTCGGTTTATAGGGTTTTTATCTTTTTACGGTTGTTTTAGTAACTTTACTATATTTTCATGTTTATCTAAGCCTGGTATTAGAATATTGAGTGTTGGTCTCTTTTTCGATCTTCTAGCTCTTTTTCGAGATATTTCTTTGTCTTAGAAAAATATTATACGCTTTGCTGATAATTATATTACTTAATTGTAGGTTATGATTGATGATTGGTTGTTTTTGAAACAATTTACCCAAATTATTATTTTCCTTTACTTTGTATAGTGGTTTGGACTACCGAGGTTACGATGGCTAATTGGCCTGAAGGTAAAACTGGTATATCAAGGTAAACATATGTGGAAATCAAAGTTCTTTATTATCAACGCTTGATACATATGCTACTCGGTTCGAAGTCTCAGTGAGGCAAAGAGGCACATACACAGAAAGAGCCTTATATATGATACTTCGGCAATAAAAAAACAACAAAAACTACACAAACTTATAGCATATAATATCGCATTACGTAAATATCGTGAACTACTTTATCTAACATTGCTACGTAGAAAAAGAAAGATAGAATTACATGACTTGAAAGTTAAATTAGAATGCCGGCGACATCTTGGTTGATTATTTTATATATTAGCTCAGTTTCATCTTTTTGTTTCTCTTGTGCTGAAGTTTAAGTATTCTTAATATAAAATAAGAGACGAGACAATACTGATTTGGACCTACTGCCTTTCGGTTCTGTACCAGGTGGTGGCAGTAAATCCACACATTGTTTGCTAATGTATTTGGATCCGCTACAGATAACTTCAGGAATCCGAGAAAATCCAATTCTCAGGAGCTCCAGAATAAACTCCACACCACTTACTCCACATTGGTCTTCAATTGTTTTTCGAACACACTCGAAGAACCGTTGATACGTGCTATCATAAAATAACGTATATTATTTTTGGGTCTTATTTTAAGTTTATTACACTTTATATGCGATCCTTTATACTAACTCTTTTATCAATATTATTTTTTCAACAGTAAGTCGGAAGTTAAAATACCTTACAACTATAGTCACAAAAAACATAGCAATAACAATTCAAAATGTTGACAGAAACAAGCAAGGCATATATCAGATCGCGAGCATGATTTTATAACCAGTAAAAGTTTGGCAAACTTGAATATATGAAATATAATTAATTATACTTAACGTGAGACCTTGGTATTAAACTTATAGCATCTTTTAAAACTGCATTATCTGTTCCTTCCGTTAGGGATTTCCAAGAAGAAGAATAGTATTTCAACCACACTATATCCGCTATGGATGAAATACTATTGTATAATATGCTTCTTCTTGGAGAACCCGAAGAGTCTGAATAAAGAATTCGGCACAAAAAATATGATAGACCTAATACTGGTGTCTTATGAGAAGTATAATTTATTATAATCCTGCCTCGACAGCTTGGAAGAGGTGTTTAAGCCATAACAGTGATATGAAATATATTGCGTTCTGAACTTATGAAAATTGAAATGTATTTGTAGTTAAAACAGTATTTTATTGTAATATGAGTATGTTGGGATAGGAGTCTACTCTACCAGTGTGTACGAAATGTTATTGTGAATACATGTATATTTTAGTATTACAAGGTACAAATGTAGCACAAGGATTACACCTCTCGACCTTCACATTTATATTTGTCGTACGAGTGAGTATATAATACTAGCAGAGACCCGCAAAACATTTGTAGTCAGATTATTATCTTTATTGTAGCATTACATCTTTAAGTACAGGATTTCTAGAACAATACAAAATAATTCTAATCGCAGACACCGAAATTTAAAAGTCCACTTGTCTTAGGCCTAAAATTAGTTAAGCCTTTATTAAGTACGGTCTATTATTCAATAAAGAGATAAATTAACACTATAACTTGCGTACGTTTTTTTATTTCGTTTGGTTAGGGCTCAATTTTACCGTATTAAATACTATCTATAAAAAACTTATAATGTTATTCTATGACCTAACGTTAGACCTTTTTCAAAACTTTTATAATCTTTTAATATGTTGTTGTATCAAATGTCTACTAAATTATATTTACATCCGCCTTTTGTTTACATCCAGTGTTTGTTTAAATCCAGTATTGTCTGCTGTGTTTAATAAACTTACCAACAAAATGTAGAGGGACGTAAGTCAAAACTTATTTCACCGAACTTGTCCAACCCAGCTTCTAAATCTTTCCAGCATGGTGTGAGCTGGTCCAGAGCTTCACTGAGACAGGCGGATTTATTCAGGTACCCTTGGAACAAACAAAAAAGAAATATCTTAGCAGTAGACATTAAGTAATGAATTAGAACTGTAATCTCGTATAAAGTAATCATCTCTGTCCTAAGAGCTAGTCTCAAGTTATTATTCAACTTTGGATTAGTGAAGGTTGTACATGATAAACTCTCTTCCAGGTATTTAAAAAAGATAATAAAGTTACAAAGTAAAAGTTATCAGGCAAAACTGGAAGATCAAGCTAATGAGGACCTTTCAGCTTTGGAAAAATTATGTAACATATGAAATTTGATTATATTAGCAACTCTTACGAATTTGGTGTTTTCTTTCTAATTGCATTGTTAGTTCAGAACTCTTCAAATATTGATAGAAAGAGCACATATCAAAGAAACTTGATATATGTGTATTTCTGTTGTATTTGTGAAAATTATGAACATCTAAAATGAGTATATGAATATCACTTCTAGGATAATAAAAACTTTGTGTACCCACCATAAATGACAATGTATTCAATTTATTGAGGGAGAGAAATAGATTCATACACAAAATGGTTACTTAGCAAATTCAAAGATTGTTAGATACACATAAAGAAACGCATAAATACAGCCACCTCTGTATTAAGTAATTTATTTGGTCTATCACCACGTTTTTGTTTTTTGTTTGGTTTTTAAATGCACAAACTTCCGGCTCAATTACCTAAGCCTTCTACAGGTGCAAGACGTTTAGTAAACAACAAGATCTAACGGAACAATTCGAATCACAAGTTGCCTAGCAACAATGAAAAATAAGAACGTGCCCGTTTCTTTATAACAATAGATCCTGTTGTTTACTCAACATCTCGCACCTGTAGAAAGCTTAGGTAACTGAGCCGGAAGTTTGTGCATTAAAAAACTAAAACAAAAAAACGTGGTGGTAGTCCAAATAAATTACTTATACAAATATGACTACTCACGTTAAAAGCCTGAAAAGCTACAGCCACCACCTCCATGCATATACATAGATAAAACAGAAACGGTTTCATCTTATGATATCTGTTAGATGCAACATAGAGCAACGCTAACATATTATCATATTTTCCATATACATCATACAACAACGCAAGCATTTTATAATATCTGTCCTATAGATACATAATATTGATTCTCCTTTGGTTATATAAATAAAACATACTTCTCCTGATCTCTGAAATATATAGGAATCTGAAAGACAATAAACGAACTAATTCTGGTATCCTATATTCAGATATATATGTTTGCTTCTTTGTCAAAAATATATTTAAAATTACCTCTCTTTCAGATGGATATTTAAACTTACTTCTTTGTGAGATAAACGTGTAAATTTACTTATTTGTCAGATAGAGTATCAAAACCTGGTTTTTAGCGGCATAAGCTCTCAGATCTGCTGTTAAACCACTGGGGGCTGGTATTTAAGTTTTCAAAAACATTGTAACGAATAATTAAATTCTTCTTGAGTTTTTCTTAATATTAATTAATGACTTAAGCTTTGCTTGCTTCTGATGAACTCTTTCATATAGACATATCAAACTACCATCTCCTGATCATGTCTGATAGATATACCCAGTTCATCTGATATCCGTTGTATAGGTATATAAAGTTTAATTATTTTGATCTCTCTAAGACATTCACACAAAACTTACTTTTCATCTCCATCAAATGGATACATAAAAATTACATCTCCTGATCTCTGTCAAATATATGTAAAAAACTTACATCTTCTGATCCTCATCAGATAGGTATGAAAACTAATTACTGTTGATATTTGCCAGCTAAATATCTAAAACTTTCATCTTCTGATCTCCGCTAGATAAATGTAAATAAAACATTCTTCTCCTGATCTTCGCTAGACAAGGCACTTAAAACCTTCTTCTCTTACTCTGTTTACATACATACATAATTTACTTGCTTGCTAAATTTCGCTCAAAGCTACTAGAGGGCTATTTGCGCTAACCTCCCCTAATTTTGAAGTGATAAACTAAAGAGAAAACAGCTATTCAACATCACCCACCGTCAACTCTTGGGTTACTCTTTATCAAGGAATAGTGGGATTGACCGTCATGTTAGAGCTCCTCCACGACAGATTTCTATCCTACAACCCCCAGATTGCGAATCGAATAACCATCAGGTCATGCCAGGTCACACAAACATAAAATATTTTCTTCTTCTCAGCTCCTCCAGAAAGATATACTAAACGTGCTTCTTTTGATCTCCATTCTTTAAACCTACTTTCTCGTCAAAGACAGATGTAAATTAGAGCCCTTAATCTTCGTCAGATTGGCATTTAAATCTTACTTATGATATCCATCACATACATACACAAATATATTTTTTTTCAAGGTAAAGTCAGAAAGTTTCATCTAAGATTTTATGTTCTTTTCAAGGTTTGTTTGTTTGTAATTAAGCACAAAGCTACACAATGGGCTATCTGTGCTCTGCCCACCCAGAGTATCGAAACCCGGATTCTAGCGTTGTAAGTCGGCTGTGCCACTGGGGGGGGGGCTCTTTTCAAGGTAATGTCAGAAAATTTCATCTTGATATTACTTATCCGGTTAGTGCACGTAATAGACATAGGAACTCTGGTGGACATGGGTGACGAGTTCGGTTCCAAACTCCGTACCTCCTATGTCAGTCCTTCAGTGGGGAGAGGGGGGGGGTCTTCAGGATACTTGCCAATGTTGGTGAAAATCGGTTCAGTATTTCGAGATACAACACATCGGAGACAAATAAAGTCCCTGGATGACATAGAGTGGTCAAATCCGAACGTCGACCTCCATCTTATGTTACTCCAAGAGTGAGGAGTCTATGGGTACGTGTCGGACTTGGTAAAAATCGGTTCACTTATTCACCAGTTACATTGGTACATAAACTTTTACTATTTACGAGTTCCAAATATCACCGGTGGCTAGTAGTAAATTTCTAACTCTAAAATTCGGATTTCAATCCCTTTAGCGGATTTGCGCAAGTTATTGGTTCATTTTGCGCTATACAATAACCAAGCCAGATAAATAATCCGATATTCAATATATATAGCAATATAACATTTAGTTCCTTTGATATTAATCAGATGGATACGTAAAAGTTACTTTTCTTGATCTTTGTCATTTACGTATATATATATATATATATATATATATAAGTTAACAGCCCTGATTTCCATCAAATAAATTCATAAGCTTATTACTCCGTCAAATAGATGTCTAAAACTTACTTCTCCTGATCTCCGTTACACACATATATATATATAACAACCAGCCTCTCCTTCCAGTGTCCTCATTTATTTCATATAGGGCCCGGCATGGCCAGGTGGTTAGAACGCATCCCCGTCCCACCAAACATGCTCGCCCTTTCAGCCGTGGGGGCGTTATAATGTGACGGTCAATCTCACTATTCGTTGGTAAAAGAGTAGCCCAAGAGTTGGCGGTGGGTAGTGATGACTAGCTGCCTTCCCTCTAGTCTTACACTGCTAAATTAGGGACGGCTAGTGCAGATAGCCTTCGTGTAGCTTTGCGCGAAATTCAAAACAAACAATTTCATATAGACATCTTTGTCAGAAAAGACATATAAAAAACGTACCCCTGACCTTTGTCATCTAGATACGACAAACTTACTTTCTCTGATCTGGGTATCGCTTGAACAATATTGACTAATTAATGAATTGGATCCTTCTCCTACTAAATCGAGTAATTCACTTTGCGTGGACATCATGCAGGATTTCGTGTAATTCAGAAGGCAATTCTGAGCTTCAAGGATAAATCTAATAGAAATATTAAAATGTGTTAAATTACATCCAACAAAGTTAACCCTTTAGCACATATAGCTCAAGTTTTAACTGACATGTTTTCATAATAGGCTTGACATTGAGTGATCGTTTTAATGCAAGTCCGAACGACCGTTTCCTTAATCGAAATAAAAATTTAAAATATAAGCAAGATAAAAATTATTTAATAGAAATTAAACAAACATCATGTTTACCTTCTTGATATTGAATTATGTTAAAATGTCATGCATAAACTTTCCAATTGATTAAAATATTACTTAAACTTTGTTTTATAACAAAGCCACATTAGACTATCTGCTATGTCTACCGCGGGGAATGGAACATTGTATTTTAGCGTTGTAAATTCGTAAACCTACCATTGTCCAACCTGGGAACATTACATAAAGAAATAACGAAGTACAAAATATCAATGAATACTAATAAGGTATCATTCATACCATATCTTCATGTTCACGTGGGTATTCTTTTGAAGGTACCTTACTCTTTTCAAGGTAACGTCAGAAAATTTCATCTAGGTTTTATGTTCTTTTTAAGATGTATTCAGAAAGTGTCATCTAGGTTTTTATGTTATTTTCAAGTTAACGTCAGAAAATTTCATCTAAGTTTTTATGTTCTTTTCAAGATACCTTCAGAAAGTATCGTCTAGGCTTTTATTTTATTTTCAAGGTAACGTCAGAAAGTTGCATCAAAGTTTTTATGTTCTTTTCAAGATACCTTCAGAAAGTATCGTCTAGGTTTTATTTTATTTTCAAGGTAACGTCAGAAAGTTGCATCTTTGTTTTTATGTTCTTTTCAAAATATATTCAGAATGTATCACCTAGGTTTTTATGTTCTTTTAAAGATAACGTAAGAAAGTTGCATCTTTGGTTTTATGTTCTTTTCAAAATATATTCAGAATGTATCACCTAGGTTTTTATGTTCTTTTAAAGATAACGTAAGAAAGTTGCATCTTTGGTTTTATGTTCTTTTCAAAATATCTTCAGAAACTATCATCTAGGTTTTATGTTTTTTAACAGTAACGACAGAAATCTTCATCTAGGTTTCATATTCTTTTCAAGGTAACATCAGAAAGCTTTATTTTCGTTTTTTAGGTGTTTTTCAAGGTAATGACAGAAAGCTTCCTTGAAAAGAAGATAAACATTTTGAGCTTTTTATATATTTTTTGAACGTAAATCTAAAACTCTGTGTCTTACATTGGGTTGCTTTCAATGTGACTTCAGTTTGCTTTATTTTATGCTAGCGAAAGTACTCGGCATAGAAGAACAGTCAAAATATTTTAAACATTTGTATTTCCCAGAAACATAAAAAGTCGTAAGGAATGTATAGTAAGTTAAGAAGCATTTATTATCAATGAACGTTATCACTGCGTCAAATATTTCACATTTATATTTGATATCACAACTTTCGATCACATTTTACCGGAATCTATTACAATTTTTACCGTTCGATTAATGTCTGCCCATTACGATTTTGGTGACGGGGATGCAAGGGGACGTGAAGGGGATTGCCGTGAAACTTTGTAAGTGTAGTGAATGTTGGTATGAACTAAAGGAATTAATATATAATCCTAAAGTAAAGACATAGGGTGGGATAACCTAGCCTTGAGCCAAGTGCGTATAATTTATCATCAAAGAAAAATTATCGATCCAATTTTAAACTTAAATAAAATTAACAAACCTCTTTAATCAACGGAAACTCTGAATTAGGAAATCAACATTTTTTTTTTCAATTTTGTAGATGATACATTTCATTTTGTAGTTTCAGTACATAGACTAACAACAATATTATGTTATACCTTTGTTGCTAAGCAACATGACATAAAAGTCATTGTTGGAACGCATTGTTACCAAAACGCACTGGCTTTTCTGTATATTAGAAGTTGTTATATAAGGAACCATTTCTTTTCTATGTGCATTTTCGCTAGCTTCCTTCATTAAAAAGATGCGCACGCGCATGGATAAATAATAATACTTAGGTGCATACCCTCAGGGTCTACTTAGAATGGGTGCAGAATTTCAGGTTTCTAGGTTCTTTCCTCCTGGAGATATGTCGGTCACATATTCTTTCCTATGTGGTTTTTTCCTTACCTTGCTATATAAAAAGATGCGCACGCACGTGGATATGTAATAATACCCAGGTGCACACCCTCAGGATCCATTAGTGTGTGTGCAAAATTTCTAGTTCTTAGGTTCTTTCCTCTTGGAGTTATGGCGGTCACACACACGCGCAGACCCACAGACACTTCCTTTTATTATTATAGATTAGTTTTCAAGATAACGTAAAAAATTCATCTTACTTTTTATGTTAATCTCACGATAAAGTTTTCAAGATAATGCAGATGTTTTGTTGTTTATGTAGTAGTTTTTCAGTGAACGTCAAAAAGTTTGTTTTAGTATTGTTTTTTCTTCTTTTTTTCAAAGTTACAACGGAGCGAAATAGTTTGGTTTAAGTCTATTTTCAAGTAACGACAGAAATCCTTTTATCCGTATTTATGTTGTTTCCAAAGTAACAACAGAAGTATCAACCTCGCTGTTTGTGTATTAGTTTTCAAGGTAACGGCAGAAAACCGCATTTGGCGTTACTGGTTCTTGACAAAATAACAATAGGCATTTTATTATTGTGGTAACTATCCACGTCACGACAAAAAGCTTTGTTTTGGTTTTTGCGTTGTTTGCAAGGAACATAACATCAATCTCATTTAATTATCTCGTTGTTGTATTCAAGGTGACATCCGAGAGTTTAATCTTAGTGATATTTTCAGTGTAACGTTATTTTGTTTTATCTTACTGTTAGTGCTGTTGTTTTCAAGATAAAGACATAAAGCTACATTTTCATGCATTGGTTGTTTCCAAGGTAACAGTAAAACATTTTATCTTTGTTCCAGTGTTGTCGTTATCAAGGTAACGACACGAATCACATTGTAATTTTTGTGATTATTTTCATTGTTCCGTCAGAAATCATTTGTCGTTCGTGCTCTTTTCAATTTAATGTGAGGAAGCTTCGTCTGTTTGCTTTAGTGTTGTTTTCAGCATAACAACACTTGTTGTTACCAAGATAGTGAGAAAACGTTTCAATGATGTTGTTTTCAATGGTGAAGTTGTATTTTTGTTTTATCCTTAATGATAAGTTGATGCCGATAGTTTAAAATATTATAATACTATACTAACGGTGTATGCAGATGTTTAAGCTTAAGGATAGTACTTAATAAACAATTTGCTTTATACACTCGCAATAGTAATTTACATTAGAAAGTAAAATTATACACATTAGGTAAGACAAAAATACTAAGTCGTACTTATCCGATATTAAAGGCCTTTGATTAATAATTATTAGAAAACTAACAATGCGTTCCCACTACTTTCCTATTTCCAGTTCATTTAAATCGTAACAGTTTTTCATACGTATTTGATAAGATATTTGTCTGAATGTTGTTCTGATTCTCTTGGATCATTTAATTGGTCTGAGTCAAGTTATTTATATAAGTTGATAAGAAACACGAGTATTTCTATAAATTGAAATTGCTTATCTCTTGTAAGTTTCTGCATGATATTTAAAGAACCTTGATGTAGTATGAACGTGTTTTAGGTGTTATATTTAAAGAACCTTGATGTAGTATGAACGTGTTTTAGGTATTATATTTAAAGAACCTTGATGTAGTATGAACGTGTTTTAGGTGTTATATTTAAAGAACCTTGATGTAGTATGAACGTGTTTTAAGTGTTATATTTAAAGAACCTTGATGTAGTATGAACGTGTTTTAAGTGTTATATTTAAAGAACCTTGATGTAGTATGAACGTGTTTTAAGTGTTATATTTAAAGAACCTTGATGTAGTATGAACGTGTTTTAGGTGTTATATTTAAAGAACCTTGATGTAGTATGAACGTGTTTTAGGTGTTATATTTAAAGAACCTTGATGTAGTATAAACGTGTTTTAGGTGTTATATTTAAAGAGCCTTGATTTAGTATAAACGTGTTTTAGGTGTTATATTTAAAGAACCTTGATGTAGTACAAACCTGTTCTTTGATATTATATTTAAAGTGTCTTGAAGTAGTATAAAACTTTTTTTTTGGTGCTAAAGAGCTTTAATGCGGTATAAAACTGCTTTTTACGTGATCTTTACATAACTTTGATGTGATATAAAACTTTTTTTGTATCCTTCCACTGTTCTTTCTTACGTTTTGAGGGATGACTTTGAATAAACACATTTTGCTTACTTAGAATGACGGGACTACTGTATCTTAGTCTTACAACTATGCTTTTCATAGTAACTGAGCCTCAAGTTCTTTTTAGGATGACAAACAACAGTTTGTAACATACAAAATAAAAATTACCGAAACGGAGAGTAGCTCGATCGGAGGAATTACTTCCCTGACACCAGAACCAATAAGATGAACACCTGTTGGCTTGAACTGAAAAGTTCTGCTAAATAATTTTTTTTTCTTTTTCTAAACGATCTGCTAATTTCAATTTTTTAGAGCAAAGAGATTTTTTTTTTGCTTTGACAAAAAATGCATTATTTAAGTTTCCTGTTTTAAGCTAAATAACTTATACATACGGCTATATTTATTATTAGATTTTACCTCGGTTTATACCTCGGAGTATATATTTATTTTCAGTCACTAAATATCAACTTATATCCACTAATATACAGGTTAGCTCACGAGATGTTTTGTGGGTTTGATAAATATTTTCCCCCATACTTACGAACATTGAATATCAAGTTCTCTCTCAGTTTCCGGAACTCCATATTCTCGGCTGAACACCAGAGTTGCCACACATATATCAAGCTCTCGCATATGGCAATTTTGGCAATGAGTCTGGTATGGACCTTGAAACGAGAAGAGTGAATTTTAATTTATTTATTTTTTCAATTTAATTCCTTCAACTTGGCCTTCTATTAGTATATAATTACTACCTAGGAAAACAAATGAGTTTTTTGATTGGCCAAAATCACCCAAGAATCTGAATTAATTAATAATCATGAAACATTATTTATGTTGAGATGTTATTGCTTGTGATATCCACTTTTTGGATATCAGAGTGAGGACGAATGGAGAATAAATAAATAACTATAGAAGAATCGCTGGTGGCAGGACAGAGTGAGGACGAATGGAGAATCAATAAATAACTATGGAAGAATCGCTGGTGGCAGGACTGAGTGAGGACGAATGGAGAATCAATAAATAACTATGGAAGAATCGCTGGTGGCAGGACTGAGTGAGGACGAATGAAGAATCAATAAATAACTATGGAAGAATCGCTGGTGGCAGGACAGAGTGAGGACGGATGGAGAATAAATAAATAACTATGGAAGAATCGCTGGTGGCAGGACAGAGTGAGGACGAATGGAGAATAAATAAATAACTATGGAAGAATCGCTGGTGGCAGGACAGAGTGAGGACAAATGGAGAATAAATAAATAACTATAGAAGAATCGCTGGTGGCAGGACTGAGTAAGGACGAATGGAGAATCAATAAATAACTATGGAAGAATCGCTGGTGGCAGGACGAATGGAGATGATTATTAAATGCAACAGAGCCAGACTTGTGACTGATTCCTTCAACACTACCTGGTGTTCAAGTATCTCCAACTGCAGTGTTCAAAGAACGGTACAAAATGTGTCACATCGTAAGTGAACTGATCTTAAAAAGGTGAATACGGGAAATCGTGACTCCAGTAATGCTGAAAGTTCCAACCATGAATCGTAACTGTAACAGTGTGATGGGATCTGATCAGTGGCGCTTCACGTGTATTTATTATTATTATTCCAAATGGAGACAATCACAGAAGAAGTTTGATCTTGTTTATGTTGTTCTGGAATTGAAAGTTGATCTTGGTTGTACAAAGTTGTTGTGAGCGTTCTTGTGTTAAGGATTGGGTTTCTTAAAAGTAGAATTACATCCAAGGAGCTCCTGAATGTTGTTTTTATCATGTCCATCCCACAATATAATAAGCAATATTTTACTACGATAGTATTATTCAAAATCAGTTTTATAAAGCACTATGATTACGACAATCGTCCTTGTTGGGCCTAACAGCTATAAATTTTCAATGTAGTGTAGCATCTTCTTTTAACTGTAATGCTGCATTCGCCACATATTTTTCCAACAACTGTTTACGAAATACGAACCACAGCCAAAGATGTATTGGCCAGAAAACACTATCCAATTGCTTCAGTCTATTACGTTTAAGAAAGAAACTAAATTTAAGTTTTTGAGTGTGGTGCACACACATGGATAAATGACGTAAGCAAAGGACGCCTGTATTACGAAATTGGGTCATAAACTCGGTGAAGTACATTTAACTGGTCAGTTGGTATTGAGAATCACGAGTTAAAAGTTATAAAAAATGAAGCTACAGTGAGGACGCTGAGAAAAACGTTAGTCACGAGTTGACAGTGATAAGTTATTGACGCCGATCTAGTAGTACAGTAAAGGCTATTAAAAATGTTATGATAACATCTAAAATCGGCACTTTGATATAAGATTCGTTACTACAGCCTGGTGTAGTAGTATAAGGTGAGAAGGCAACCGGAGTTCTCACCATCACAGTAACCAATTACTTGAGAGTTTTGGTCCTTGTTCTGGAAATGCCCGATGAGTTGCAGAAATTAGCCAATAAAGTGTCAGGACTACTTGCGGGTAGTCAGGAATACTGTTTGGGAAATCGAAAGTATACAGAGAAAATATAGTTTAAAAACTCGTGTCTGGAGCTAAAAATCAGTTATCCAGGAAGAATTGAGATTCTCCAAAGAGCTGGTAATAGTTCCAAGCAAGAAGTATCCAAACAATTATGAATATGAAGATGTCTAACCTCTAGAGATACACCAGTCCGACCTTGTTGTAAGTATAGGATTGCTATCTCTCTTATTCAATTAATGTAGGAAGTTAATGGTCATAACAGGGAGAAATATTATATACGTGAACTGTATTGTTTAACTGGAAAGTGAAAGTTAGAACTGTTAAGAAACTAACAGTTTAGAAAATGCTTAACTGTTGATATTAAAGGTGTGTATACTGTGTGTAACGACTTAATAAATTTTGACGTATTTCGTTCAATGTCAATCTCAGAATCAGTTTCTTTAATCTAACCGTAAATTACCTCCAGTTAGCGACTTGTGAGCTCCACTCGCCATTGCAATCCTCAATTAAATTAATTTGATGTAATCGGCAGTACAGTCGAAGCTCCAACGACTTGCCCTAAGAGCACTGCCCATTACAACTGGCACAATCGACAGGATTTTTGGAGCGACTAACGACAGGTTGGTTGGAGTAAAGAAAGGAGTAAAAGTAAGAAAGTCAGCTGAAAGTACTATAAGTAGTAAGTAAGTGAATATGGCTACTGAAGAGGGTGGTGCACACCCTAGAGTCGATAGAAGGGATGACGCTAGCTATGAAGCTGCGGCACAAGTATGTCCACGCGACGCTACGCATTTAACGAGCGCCATACCGTTATATCACGGTAGACTCGACGAGGAAGTCGAGGGCTTTATTGACGCCTTAAATGAAGCCACCAGAATATCGGGCTGGACTGGTGCCCAGAAAGCAGACATTTTAAGATTAAGAACAGCAGGAGAAGCAAAACGCTATACTAGGACTTATAGCGAACTACGTGAAACCACAGATTTTCAGTATCTAGCACGTAGGTTATTGGAGGAGTATAGGAAGCGAGAAACACCAAATGTAATTTTAACAGAGATGCGCAACTTAACTCAGCAACGAGACGAATCTTTCCGAGTTTTTGGACATAAGTTGCAGGAGTTAGGAAATAAATTGCGTAGGGCTTATACACACCCGAACGAGTTAATGATACAAGATACTTTAAAATTTGAGTATGAGCGAGGTTTATACAGTAATGCAGCTAGATGTCAGGTATGTGAAGCAAATACACTCCAAGCAACTTTGCTTGATCTGATTGAAGTAGCTACTTTAGAGGAGCTACGAGAGAAAAAGAAATATAGCCTTAAGCATTTTGCTGTAAAGGTAGTAAATAGATCTAGCAAAGTATATTGGCAAAACAAGCAATGTAGGCTCGATGGCTCCCAGTGTTTTAACTGCGGCAAAGTTGGTCACATAGCAAAGAACTGTTTTCAGAAACAGAAAAACAGAAATGAGCAGATAGCATGCTTTAATTGTGGTATTAAGGGTCACATAGCCCGTGATTGCCGACGTCAACAGAAGGCAGAAAACAAAAAAGCCCTAAAGGCTGGAGCTTACAGAGGAAAGTTCCCAAAAAATAACGGTAGCTCTACATTCGCTGCAGGATCAAAAAACGTAATCACCACCGGGATTAAAGAGTGAAAGTAGAGGTCGTACCGACAGTTTGAGATAAAAGATTGAGTGTCCATAGTGTTAATGAAGTGTCGCCAATAGTTATAGTAGAAATAGAAGGTATAGTATGTCAGTTATTGGTTGACACAGGCGCTCGATCGTCTCAACTAAGTGCAGAACTAGTAGATAAAATCCGACGTTATCAAATAATGCTTGGAAAGAAGTTTTCAGAAGTATTTTGGCTTCTACAACATGACATCCCATTAAAACACTAGGTAAATATAGTGTACTCGTGAAAGTAGGAAAGTTAGAGATAGAACACTAATTTTACATCTGTAAGCAGATAGACTTAGAAACAGATGGTATCATAGGGCAAGAGTTCTTAAGGGTTTATGACATTGAAATATCTCTTATTTCGGGTAAGCTATGCACAGAAACGGAGATCTTAAATTTTGAAGGACTCGAATCCTCAGATTTATGTGCAATAGTTGAGACATATGATACCTTCCCGCTAGCTAAAGCTAATAGTCAAACGCCTAACGCTAACATTAGCAAGGCTAAGGATCAACAGTCAAAATACAAAAGCACTGATTTCCTAGAGTGTAGCGATACACGAAAGCCAGAGAATAAGAGTACACAGAAACAGCAGAAGTGATAATGGTAATTGTAAGAATAAGGTGAGTGATAGTAAGATAAGGCATAAATAAGTTAGCAAATAAGACCCTAAAACAGGGAACTAGTAATTGGAACCCTCTCAGATGATTCTACACTTATGCCTAACATAAGCAACAGAGCATCCCAACAGGTGTGTTTGAAAGAAAGAATCCCTGTAAGATTAATTAAAATAACTGAAGTACCTGCAAGAAGTCAAATTATTTTTGAAGTTAAAGTATATGACTTTAAGTATAACGAAGAAGTGCCCATTGAACCAATTGATATAGAAGAAACAGGAGTTTATATAACTGCTTGTATTATTAAAGTATCCAAGAGAGACATGGTGCCTATAAAAGTGTTAAATGTGAATGAAGAAAAAGTAATACTACCTAAGAACATAGTAGTAGGTTAAGGCTAGTAGTATAGAACAATTAGCTGCGGTAGGACAGTGTAATGTTAATAACGTTAAGAAACAGGTACAACAAAGTAGGATAGACTGGGATTTCATCAAAGGAACTATAGGCAAGAGACATAAACAGGGTTTGATAACATTGTTAGAAGAGTATAGAGACATATTTCTAGGAGAATATGACCCCAATGGTTGTACAAATAAAGCTAAACACAAGATAGTGTTGAGTAACAGTAAGCCTATGGATTGCCAGAAAAACACAGGGTAGAATTAAAGGAATTGTAAAAGAGATGCTTGAACAAAGAGTAATAGAGGATAGTAGTAGTTCATATGTTTCTCCAGTTGTATTAGTTCCTAAGAAGGACAAAAAAAATTAAGGTTCTGTGTGGATTTTCGGAAAGCGACCGGAGTAACAGTCAAAGACATCTACCCATCAGCTAATATCCAAGAAACCTTAGGTAAGCTAGGTAAGAGTAAGTACTTTTCATCTATGGACTTACAAAGTTCGATATTGGCAGGTGTAGATAGAAGAAGAATATAAAGCTAAAACTGCTTTTGTATTACCTTCAGGTAAATATCAGTTTAATAGATTGCCATGGTTTATGCAACACCCCCTTCAACATTCCAGAGATTAATGGATGTTGTATTATCAGGTTTGCAAGATTCAGAATGTTTCTGGTATTTATATGATGTTCGCTGCAAGTTTTGAAAAACACATAGAGAGATTAAGGCATGTAATGTAGTTGATAGGTTACGGAAAGCAAATTTAAAGCTTAAACCAAGTAAATGTTAGTTTCTGAAAAAAAGAAGTAGAATATCTGAGTTTTCTGGTGAATGCAGGTGGTGTAAAACCCAAAACACTTAGACGTTTGCAAGAATTATCCAGTGCCTAAAACAGTAAAAGATGTTCGTGCATTTTTTAGGATTTGTAGGATTTTATAGAAGGTTTATACCACATTTCACACTGCTGGCAAAACCTTTAACTGAATTAACTAAGAAAGAAATATATTTTCAGTGGACAGATAAAAGACAGGAAGCATTCGAGAAACTAAGAAAAGCTTTATTAAAAGCACCAAGTTTGAGCTATCCAGGTTTGAGTAAAGAGTTTATCTTAAGCACAGATGCTTTAGGTTTCGCTATAGGTGCAGTGTTATCTCAGTTAGACGAAAATGGAAAAGAACACCCTATAGCTTATCAGAGTAGACAGTTAAGAAAAGTTGAAATAAATTACTCAGTCATAAAACAGGAATGTTTAGTTGTAGCGCATGGAATTAAAACTTTCCGTTGTTATCCATATGGTAGGAAGTTCACTATTATCACAGATCATGCACCATTAAGATGGTTAATGACATTAAAAGAACCCTCCTCTAGGTTAACGAGATGGTCATTATTACTACAGGATTATGATTTCGAAATAATACATATACCAGGTAAGAAACATTCTAATGTTGATGCTCTGAGTAGAATTAGAGTAAAAAATGCAGAAACTGAAGAAAATCAGACAATTAACAAAGTAAGAGAAGTAAAAGCTGAAAATGAAGATGAGTTAGAAGTAATTTGGGATTCAGATCATGTGATTAGTGAGCAAAAAAAAGACCCAGTATTAAATGCCTTAGAAAACAAAGTATTAATAGGAGAAGATACAGAATTCATGTTAGATTCAAATATCTTGTGTAAAAGGGTTAAGGATAACAGGTCATTACAAATAGTTGTACAACATAACTTAAAAACTAGAGTTATGAAAACATATCATGATATGCCCTTTGCAGCACACCTAATTTTTGCTAAAACGTACAGCAGAATAAGTAAGCGATTCTTTTGGCTAGACATGAAGAAAGATATTAAGAATTATTGTGATTCGTGCATAGAATGTCAAAAACTAAAAACAAGGCCACACGTTAAGAACGTTCCCTTACAAAGAACGCTGAATCAAACGACACCTTTCCAGTTAGTGGTTATGGACATATTAGGCCCATTGCCTACGTCTTACGCAGGAATCAAATGTGTGTTAGTAGTTGCCGACTACTTAACTAGGTTTCCTGAGGTTATATGTTTATCTGATCAGAAAGCAGAAACAGCAGCCAAGGCTTCTGTGAATAACACAGTAGCTAGACATGGTATACCACAACATTTACAAACAGATAGAGGTAATAACCTTATATATAAGTTAATGAAGGAAGTTTGTGAGTTACTAAGTGTAAGAAAAATTGAGACAACAGTTTATCACCCAGCTGCTAGTGGTTTAGTAGAAAGGTTTGATAGAACTTTGTTAGACATGATCTCTCAATAGTTTGACAAGGGATGAGCAGATTCCCTTGTTATTTTTAGGATATAGAAGTGCTGAGAATGAGTCTACTCGGGAAAGTCCATTATTTCTATCACATGATTGAGATGTTGTGTTACCTATGCAGGAGATAGTAGCTCATAGAAAAGTTAATTATACAGTAAATTACGACTATAAGGCAGAAATACTACAGAGAATGCAGTTAGCATTTGAGTTAGCTAACGAACATTTAACTAAAGCTGCTGAAAGTGGAGAGAAACAAGTAAATTAGAAGGCACAAGTTAGTGATATAAAGTTAGGGGACGAAAGAAAGGAACACTAAAAAGTTAGCAAAGTTATGGAAAGGTTCTTTTAGAGTCCTTAAACAAACAAGTCCAGTTAATTTTGAGATCCAAGAGATTTATGGAAAAGGTATACAACTGGTATATGTTATTAGGTTAAAGAAAGTAAAAGATTATAGACCTTATCAATATGAGTGTGTAGCAGACGAAACTAAGGAACAGGAACAAGATAAGAGTGTACTCAACGAACCTAATAACTCAGGTGGGTTTGATTCATCTTTTGATGATGAAGAAGATATTCCAGAAAGAGAAACACCAGAGTCAGAGGAAGATTAAAGTGTTGCACTAGGTGATGAAATTATAACAACAGAAGATACCTCAGTTAGACGTGGCAATAATGAAAATAATGCCCCAATAACTGAGGATAATAACCCTAGTATCCCAGTGACAACACAAGCTGATATAGCGACCCATGACTATAACCTTCGATCACGCGGTCCTATATCAACTTAACTAGATGTGACTCCTACAACCAGGAGGAAACAAGTAAGATTCGATCCTCAAGTAGTTGTACACAAACCTAAGAGTGACGTAAATACAGTTAATACTGTATCTCATGAAGTCAGTGTAGTTGATGCTTACAATAACATGATAGGCTACTTACGAAGTTGTAAATAAGCTAAGTAGGATAAGATATATATATGTATAATTAATGTATGTATGTTGTATTAAGTATTATAATTATGTGTTATTAGTAGATGTATCTATAGGTTTACCAGGATTCTTATGCTACTGATGGTAATGAGCAGGACTGCACAAAAATGTAAGTATTGTTCCAGTAGAAAATAAGATCGGTGTGGTTTTTGTTGAAGAAGGTAATTTTATATTATCTGGAGATAAATGGATAAGACATACCATTTCCACAGTATGTTCAGTTATTAGTAAATTTACAAACCGAGTTATTAACATTCGAGAACCCGTTTGACGTGAATACTCGCGCTAGTTTTGATGTAGAAAGTTTGGAAGATGTGACATTACATCACATGAGATATCAAGGAACAGCTATCTTACAGTTAGCAAGAATCTTACAAGAAGGACTGATTGAAAATTATAAAACTTTAATTAGACAACATCAAGATGAGATGGGTGATCT